CACCCCAGGATCATGACCTGAGCCGAAGGCAGATGCTTCACCGACTGGGCCCCCAGGCGCCCCAGTGATTTCCTTTCTTTGTGTCTTTTCTTACACTATTTCACCACCTGGAATGTTCTCTGTTGGCTAAAATACTATATCCCACCTCGGATGTTGTCCCCTCCACAAAACTTTCTCTAATCCACTAAACAAGAAGCACCCTCTGCCTCCTCCATCCTCCCGGATCCCTTACAGTTGTTCTGTGAAGCCCGGTCCACATGTTCGACTCCTTTCACGGGCCCCGCAGTCTCCGTGGCGCCTCTGCTGTCCTGCCGTCCAGGACACACTCTGCTCATGAGTGGTTATAACGTTGCATTTTCTCCGAAGTAGGAAATGGAACAAATCCAGAGGAAAAGTGTTTAAAAACACGAATAAATTACACATGATCCGAGGTATTGCTGAGTACAGCTATACAGAGATAAACACGTCATGATCAATTAGCACATTGGTGAGCCACCTGCAACCCATTCTGAAATAAAGCTGCATCTAAAAATGGTGAATAACGTTTATCTCTTGCTTTTCATTCCTAGTGCAACCAACTTAGAGGGTTTTTTTAATTAATTAATTAATTAATTAATTAATTAATTAATTAATTAATTTGAGAGAGGGAGAGACAGAGAGGGAGAGAGAATCTGAAGCCGACTTTGCACTGAGCGCGGAGCCCGACTCGGGGCCCGATCCCATGACTGTGAGATCATGACCTGAGCCAAAACCAAGCGTCAGATGCTTAACCGACTGCACTGCCCCCCTCCATCCCAGCGCCTCCCAGCTTAGAGTTTTATCTCTTTACTCACCAGGACCCAGGTTTGCTCTCTGATTTCTCCGAGACCAGATGCCACCTTATGCTGGTCCAGCCATCGCAACCGTGCTGGGTTATGTCTGCCGACACTGGTGTGCGTGTCCCTCCCATCCCAGGGCCTTTGCCCACCTTCACGGCCCTCCCCAGGGCCTGTCCCACGTGCTCGTCCTGCTTTTCCCCGGCCCGGGCCAGCCAGGTAGCGCTCCCTCCGTGGGAGAGCCGTGGCCTTCCCAGGCTCACCCGAAGCCCAGCCGCCCCGACCCCGGCACCTGTCCTATCAGCTGCTTCCAAACCTGGTTGCGCATCAGAGTCGCAAGCACAGCATTTGAACTACAGACTCCGGGGCCCCACCCTCTGGAAATTCCGGAGTGGGGCTTGGGAATCTGCGTTTCAATACAGATCTAGCTGAGGATTCTGATGTGTAATCGTGCTGGGGACCCTGCAGTCAGCACGGGATCTCCCACCGCCCTGGTTGTGTTTGTGCATCTGTCTTCTGGATCGTCCTCTTCCTGAAGGCAGGGTGGCATCTGCAAGTGTCCAGCCTCTGGAGCCCCTGGCAGGACGGGGCACGTGCAGCTGTGACAGTCTCAGCACAGTGTGTGTTGCACGCATGCACGGGGACATCCTTCGAAGGGGTGAGGCGTGAGGGCTGGAGGGAACGTGTGATGCACCCAGGAGTCGAGAGAAGACCCCAGTGAGAGAGGACCTCTCAACTTCAGTATTCTGTGTAAAATGCAGGCGGTCATCAGCCTCCGGGGTGTCACTTTGAAATCTGTTTGCTTCCAGGGTCAAAATACTGTGCATGGATTGAATTATTTCCCATTTTGAGAAAATGCTCATCCTTATGAGGATGCCCAGTGTGAACCTTATTATCCCGGTGTTTCGCTTCTGGCTCTCTGATGATCAACTGGTGCCTTAAAAATAGAATGTTTTGGAATCTGGTCACTGGGGTTGCTCTAGCAACCACCTTGAAAACTCCGGAACGCTTTGTCCTGTTTCCAAACTCGGTAGACTTTTCCAGCTGCTGCACCGTGTCTGGGCTGTGCCCCGACCGACAGGCTGGCGCCGACTACTCTAACTGAGTCACCAAACTCCTAAAGCTCCTCGAAGAGACGCCACCTTCTAGCACCGTTGTCATCAGGGTGCATGGCGTGCTCACCGGCAGGACACACACCTTCCTTCCTCCGCAGTGGAGGATTCGGAACCGAATCACTGCACGGTGTCTTCCAGAATGTGTCTCTGGTTTTACCGAAAAGCCAAACACAGAACCGAACCGTCACGGCTGGGGGCGCATGTGCTTCCCAATGATCACAGCCCCGCCCGCGGCCAGTTCTGATGGCACTGCCGACGTCCCAGCTCTGGCCTTGCCCCGCTTGTGTGCGCTGCCCCCCTGCACGGGCTGTGTGCAGGTCTGCGGCTCCCCTGGGGGCCCGCAACGCTGCTGGGATCCGGGACCAGGGCTGCAGCCCCGCGGAGGCACCGAGGGGCCGTATGGGGTCGGGGTCAATTTCCTGGTGCTTCTCTGAGCTTCAGCTCCTACTCGGCAGAAATCACCGTCATCCCACATAGATGCGTGTAGTCAGGCTTTCTGGAAGGAAAGGAGCCAGGCGGGAGCTGTTTGCCCCCACGAGCAAATGTGCCCAGGCTCGCATCTCCCCTGTCAACTGGCCCGTAGCACCTCGCGTTCATGTCCTGTCACTCCCGAGCAGCCTCTACGAGGCCTGGGCTCCTTGAGGTCACAGCCGCATCCAGAAACCCACTGCGGGGGGGTTGGGGGCACGGGATGGCCCCGGTAGCCCTGCCATTCAGTGGCGCTCTTCCTGAGTTTTCCATCGAAACAGCTTCACAAGAGCATGTACTTCTGACCCCCACTCCTGAGAGTCACCGAGAGCTGCCTCGTTGTTACAAACTCCTCATGTGGCCCCAGGGACGACGCGGAAGGTTCCGGGAGCTGGAGGAGGCGTTTCCTGCTATCTGCAGGGAGCACCCTTGCTTCACAGGAGCAGGGCAGCTGCATGGTGGAGGGAGGGGGGCTGCACCCCCGGGCCACTTGGGCCCCCACACTGGAAGAGGGTGGGAGCCGCAGGGCCTTGGAGCCCTGGTGTGGCGGGTGGGCCCCCAGATCCACAGCACAAGTGGATGGAGAGGGGCACTGGCTGCGGGGCAGTGGGACTAGTGGGGACTAGTGGCCGCCGGTCTAACCCCCGAGAGCACGCGCTGTTCCCAACCTGTGCCCGGACTATTTGCATTCCGGAAAGTCACCTGGAAGCCGCTGCCTGGCGCTTGGTGCCCCTGGCCATGCAGGGATCCGTGTCACCAGCGAGGTGAGGGGCAGGACAGGTCGGTCACCGCGTCATCTGTGATGCTCAGGTGCCTTCACAAAAGCAAACCTGAGGACGAAGGCCCTGGGCCCCTGTGTGTTCCCAGGCTTGCCCTTCGCAGACTGAGTGGCTAAAGGCGGGGACGCGGCGGGGACTTTGGTGCCCCAGGCCAGCCTGCGTTTCCTCCCTGCCGAAAACAGCGTCACTTCTCCTCCAACGTGAACTTGCCGGTCCCGATGCCTGCCTCTGCTGCCTTGGGCCCCACGCCGCCCTTCCTTAGCCTCCCGGGTTCTTCCGCTCTCCTCGTCCCTCCGCACACTGGGCGCTGTTCCCTGCCTCCTCCGCTCAGCGCCCTCCACCAGGCAGTCCGAATTTCCTTTGCCTCGTTTCCTCAGCCTCCAGGTCCCTGTGGTGAGGACCGACCCTGGCGCCCAGCTGTCCCACAGACACTTGAGACACTGGCCTGTGGCCCCCAGAACACCTCCCCTTCCAGGGCTGCCCTGTGCATGCGCCCACGCCCGCTGTGCAGGGCTTGGGAGTGACGGCTCTGTCCTCTCCTCCCGCTGGCTCTCGGTGACCAGCTGGGACCCTTACGCATCCTTCAAGCCCATCGCTTGGCTCCGTTCCTTCTGCCCATCCTGTCCTGACCGCCACCGTCTCTTGCCCGGACCCTCCGGAGAAGGAGTGAGGCCAGAAGATGACCCTTCTCCCCCAGGGCAGCCCTCCCAGACCCCAGACCCCTGGCCACTGTTTTGTGGCTCCCGGGATCACGTTCTTCCCTTTCCCAGCACGTGTTCCACACCAGGAGGGAAGCTTCCCTCAGACCGATGATGCTCTTTCGCTTCTGTACCCCCTCCCCCCAGCACACGGACCCTGAATACGGCGTGTGTTGAGTGAATGAGTAGTAGTCACGGAAGTTTCTGCTCACCTCTCCTGGTCTCATGGCCGGGCCTCACCCGCCGCCCTGGACGCTCCGAGCTCTAGTTGCTGAGCTGTGACTGAGTCTGCAGTCATTCTGCTTTACTCACCCCCCTGGGGACACACCGCAGGTACCGTAAAGGACCGGCCGGAGCTGGGGCTCCCGTCTGGGGGTGTGGGGGGCAGACCGCTGACCCCGAGGCTTGCTGAGTGACCATGGAGTCAGCGCCATGTGTCAGTCTTGGGAGATGGCTATGCAGGTTTCGCACTGAGCAATCAGCTTGGGGTGCTGATCACTGCGTTTGTGCGCACACTGACCATTCACTCAGCACCGAGTGGCACCGCGTGTCAGCCGCAGGTCCGGGCACCGGGGAGGGAGTTGTGAGCATCCTACATGTGCGACAGGTAGTAAACAAGTAAACAGATGTGTGATTGACAATGTTCAGACAGTGATGGTAAGTGCTGTGAAGCACTTAGAGCAAGTCGAACAGAACAACAGCGGGCCCAGAGGGCAGGCTGCTTTGAGGTGACTGTGCGTGCATTCCCGGATGAGGAGGTCAGGGCGACAGTGCGTGCTAAGGCCCTGAGGTAGTGACAGGCAGGCTGGGTGTGAGGATCATCAAGGGGCTGAGTCTGGCTTGAGTGAGCAGGCAACGGAGCGATGTGGGGCAGGGGGTCAGGAGGGCAGGGAGGCCGGGTCACAGGGCCGTGGAGGTCATCATAGGGAGAGGTCCTGTTCTAGAAGCAGCGGGGAAGCTTGGCAGGGTGGAGCAGAGAGGTGACACGAACTAACTTCTGTTTCAGAAACATCTCTGTGGCTCCCGCTGAAAGTGGGCTGGGAGCCGGGCTGGGGGGGGGGGGGCGCCGCTCCCGTGACAGGTGGCAGACGCTGGCACTGGCCACGGTGTGTCCTGTTTCTGCGGCTGGGCTGCGCGCCTGCCTCGGTTTCCCCACTGCCCGTTTTTCAGGCTTGCTTACCACTAAGTGTGGTGCACCTTCTGTTGTTCGCCAGGGTCCCTCGCACCTGCCCGGGGATGCCGGAGCCTGGTGCTCGCCGATGGGCCCCTCCAGCGCCTGTCCCCGTGTTTGAGCCTCGCGGGGAGGCCCTCAGCGCATGCTTGTTGACTGAGTGAGTGGTGAGTTTGCCAACGCTTACCAGGTGCTGTGCTGGTAGAGCTGTATGGAGAGACCCACAGAGACACACATGGACACGCCAAGGGCACAGACAGGTGCACGACTCAGGAGGGGTGACATCACTCCTGAGAAGCAGAGAGTTTAGGACTCCAGAGCGGCTAACGGTGACACGGACAATGATGGCATTTCTGGGGACAGAAATGCACGGAGGGAGAGGATCTAAAAAATTTGCAAGCACTAGAAATGGACTGAGAGGAAAGGGAAGACACGTTGGTTTGATTTTCAAGAGACTTTAATTGCTGCTTTTTACGAAGTAGATGGAGTACTTGAGCTGACACGAACCGCAGAGGCGCGGGAGCGTGGGGTCAAGTGCCTCTTCTCGTCGGTGCCATTCTTATCCCCATTTTATAGATGGAGAAACTGAGCCCATCAACCTTAAACAGCAGGCCCAAGGTTCTGGCACTGGACGGGCAGGCCTAGAGCCTGGCTCTTGTTCCGGAATCGAATACTGTTTTTGCCGAGACAGCCAACTCGAACCCTTCCTGGAAGCCAATTACAATATTCTTTTGCCTTTTCTCCAGAATGTGAACTTGCTAAATCAAATTCCCAGTGAAGTGTGGCACAATCCAGCTACTCTCCGCCTTTGCCAGACTTTGGAAAACACACTTGTGTATACAGTTGACTCTTGACCGGCGTGGGGGGTGGGTGGGGAGGGGCGCCAACCCTTTGTGAGATCTGTCAGATTATATACTGTATTCTTGCAGTAAAGTGAGCTAGAGAAAATGCCATTAAGAAGAGAAAATACCTCTACCGTCCTGTGCTGTAAGAAATCCACGTCTCAGTGGACCTGGGTCGTTCGACCCGTGTTGATCAGGGGTCACGTGTGCTTGAACTCCGACCGCCCTGTGCCGGGCACTCTGGAGGGTGGTGCTCACCGGTCCCATCTTGCCTGAGGGCTCTGGGTCCAGAGGCCGGTGGGCACTCAGCAAATAGGACTGACAGCTCTTCTTCCCCAGCTACCCGTACTTGTTCTCCGGTTCAGCTCACCCTCCTTTGCTTGTTTTGAGCAAAAAGTCTCCAAGCAGCCGGAGGTAATAGGTAATTAACACACTTGAGAGCTGTTAAGTGGGATAATCATCTGTCTTTATCCTGGAGAAGGCTCTCCTTTGGGAGCTGATGGTGCTGCTCAGGCCCCAGGCTGCTACCAGGTTCGCTCTATTAAGAAACTGTCTGTGGTGCCTGTTCACGAGAGATTTGGGGACAGAAGCCTCCCGTGGATGGGACCGGGAGTCCGGAGGAGAGCTGGAGCTCCTTGCCATCACGTGGGCCTGGGAGGGCAGCATGGGTGGGCACGGCTGGCCTCCAAGCCTAGATTCTGTGGGGCTTTAGGAGACGGTGACTCCGACCTGGAGACTGATTCACCCACCGTGTGCCTGATTTTCCACTCCGGGCTGAGGGCAACATAGGGCAGAAGCCCCCTAGCTGTCCTGTGGCCTTCCCCGGTCAGGAGAGATCACCACGGCCATTCCTTGCCGTCTCGCGGCTGTAAGAAGCTGGTACGAAGGATTTCCGGGCTCCATGTCATCTCCACAGGAGATTTGTAGGTTATATCATTCCAGGACGTGACTGTCTCAAGCCACAGTGAAGGCAGACACCAGTGCCCCGTGGGGATGCCCTTTGCCCGGACACTCCACCTTCCCCAGAGCAGCGTCCTCCGGACCTCAGCTGAGTTCCCTCCAAGGAGCGCATTCAGAACACGTGTGTCATGTCTCCCCTCCTCCTGAATCGAGCTGCTTGCACGCTGTGCTTCGGCTCGTGTCCGGTGGTGCTCCAGACTCCACGCGCCGTGCACACTCGCACCGCGGTCTCTGCTCACCGGACTGCTCGGCGTTCACACCTGGCTAGTGCTCACAATACGGATCTGCTGAGTGCGTAAATGGGCTCTTCAGCACCAGCAGGCAGGCTTGTGAAACCCTTGCCCTTCTGCCCTTCTTCTAGAACATTCCCTCCCGTTGGCATCTCTCCTCTCCACAGTCTGAGCTTTTGCCTAATCACTCCCTGTATCCTGACCCCAGTTCCTACTCCCACCATCCCTGGCTTAAAGAAAAGGAGTGAAGGAGTGGGTGGCCAAGTGTGACTTCAGATCTCTCTGGATTCCCGCCGGCGGGCTGGTTGTAAGAGAATTCTGTCCCTTTGAAAATGTGGCATTATGTGAGAGAGGGTGTTTATTCTCCCCTCCCCCTCACCGGGCTCTTGGGTACTTGGTAACAGCGTGAGGAAGTGGTAGAGAGGCGTTTGAAATTCAAGTGTGCCTGGAAGCTGCATGAAAACGGTGACAAAAGGCAGGTTGGGAGGTGTGGGCGGGGCAGGGCCAGAGCTTGGTCCTAAAAGGAACCAGGCACCTCCCAAATCTGGAAAGCCCACTGGGACACAAGGAAGGTCAGAGACAGGGGGAAGGAGCTGGGTTTGGGGGTTGGGTAGCCTGCTGGGAAAAGGTAGAGTCGCGGTATGGGAGGCTAGGGGTTTGGGTGCTGAAGGATGCTGGGGTCGCTGGCCCCCATCCCTGGAAGATACCAGGGCCAACGCGGGGGTTGTTTCCAGAGTGTTCTCCTGCATGGCAGAGGCTGGGGCAGCCGGGAGCCGGACACATTGCTCTTATCTGTGAAGGCTGCCTGCCCAGGACTGGAGTCCGTGAGGGTAGGACGGTCACAGTCCCGCTGGGGGTTGGGGGTGAGGACCGAGACCCCCGGTTTTCAGAAAGGAAGTCTCTGCCTTGGGTCCTCTTCAAGCCCTGGGTCTATGAATCTTAGCTCAAATGTTTAACAAAATCACCTGGGCTGGCCCGCAGAGTATCTGGGTAGACTGGTGTAGAACTGAGAAATCTGCATTTTAACCTGCGCGCCCCAGGCATTCTGTTGCAGGGGGCTGGCAGACCCTATTTTGGGAGTCAGTGCTGAGGGGCCCTTTCGCAAACTTGAATGTGCATGTAGATCCCCTGGGGATCTGCAGGTTCTGGTTCTGGTTCCACACGTCTGGAGGTCTGGAGTGGGGTCCCAGTTCTGCATTTCTCACAAGCTCCCAGGCGATGCTGGTGATGCTGGTCCTGGGAGCATCGTGTGTTCCTGGCAGGTTCCTGGGATCTGGTTGGGAACCCCGCCCCCCGCCCAGACCTACGAAATCTGAACCTCTGGGGGTGGGCCCCAGCCCCGTGTGTTTTAGCAACACCCCCAGCTGATTCGGAAGTACGTGAGGTTTGAGCTGCTTAAGGAAGTGGGCTGGGGGAGGGGAGGGGAGCCGTTAGCAAAGCCCATTCTGTCCCCTCTGTTCCCAGCTTCCCTCTCCTCCAGAAACAGAGCCGAGACCCCTATGATTTCGGATGGAAGGAACCTTCTTCCTTGAGGGGTTGGGCACGCACACTTCCCTCCTGGATCGGCGGGGGGGCCCATTTGGCTGGTGTCCCCAGCAGGTGGTACGGCTGGCGGTCAGGGCCCACGGGCAGTGGCAGCAGGGCCAGAGGTGCCCAAGCCGACGGCCACCAGTCAGGCTGGGAGCTGGTCCCAGGGGCAGTCATCGCAGGAAGGACCAGTGGCTCTGGGGGCTGGGGCAGGGTTGGGGGGAGCCCGAGGTGGCCGCGTGAGCGTCCGGAGCACGTACGACAGGTGGCACAGCTCGGTCAGCGCCCAGCGGTTCCCAGCCGGGGCCTCCGGGCTGAGCTGTGAGCTGGGCTGTCTACACACTGGGGAGCCAGGTGCAGTGGGCAGGGGGGTGTGGGATAGCTCCCCACTTTCTCTCCCTGAGCCTCTGTTGCAGAGAAGTGAGTCCGTGTGGGTGGGCAAGAAGGCCGCAGATACTCCCGTTTGGATGAAATGTGCTCAGGGAGGGAGGGGGAAGGACGGGGGGGGGGGAGGGCCCCATGGGGCTGGAACGTGGGGGGCTGGAAACCATGCTTCTTGGCTCCTGGGCCACCTCCGTGCCCTCACTGACCACCAGCCTCCCCAGGGAAGGCAGATCCTTCTGTCCTCACGTGCTGGGACCCTGGCAGGCAAGTCCTTCTCTTGATGTCTGCTTCCCATTCTCCTGGGGTTCCTGGTGTTCAGAACAGGCCCACAGGGAAATGATCGGGGACTGGCTTCCCTGGAGGCAGGGCCCAGTCCCCAGGATCAGCCACGCAGGCCTGACCCTGACCCTGACAAGGGACAGCCACACTCGGCCTAGGCACCCAGGACTGCTGCTGGCTGTGCGGGGCTCAGAGCCAGGCCCGGGGTTCCTGGGGACAGGCCTCAGCACGCATGAGACTGGTTAATGTTGGCTTTTCAAGTTACGGTTCTAGACGAGGTGACTCTGGGCCGAGTGCTTATGTACCAGAGTCATCCGCTCACCCCTTAAAGTATTTGATGAACATCAGTGCACATTCCAGGAGGTCGAACGCTTCAACTGGCTGGCACCACGAAATGGGCAACGCTCAGCCCAACCACAGCCCAGCCGTCGGGGTCTCTGCTAATGATGCCCTCTGAGGCCTGCAGGGGGCCGCGCCGCCCGCCCCGTCTGCAGCTGGCCTGGCTCTTGCCCTGCTGCCCTCCAGGAGCCCTCTGCCCAGAGCGACTACAGAGAAAGTGGCCTCTGGAGCGGAGGGACTCAGAAGAGGGTTTCCTGCCAGTGCTTGGGATGCTCTTCTCCTCGTCTTCCAGTTCAGCGAAATCTCAACTTCCCAGGTAAGCGACCTTTCTTTCCCTCCTTCCCACCGCCCCTCCCCTGAGGTGAACCAGGGGTGCGATTATTCACCTGGGGACCTGCGAGCAGGTGTCTCCACCTGGACGCTTACGAGAAAATTGCCTCCTCCCTGCTCATCCCAGGAGGGCTCCTGGTTTGGGGAATCAGACAAAAGGACATTATCCTTTCTTTTCACACCGATTGTCCCTGGGGCAGATAGACACAGGATGTCCTTGTACAGTGTCCTTGAAAACAGGCAGGGCCTGGGTTTTCCCGGTTGGAGAGGCAGGTTTGGTTTCTCTCCCCACTTGGGGAAGCCGGGAGCTTGGTTTTCGCAGGGATGGGGTTGCGGTTCAGAGGAGACTGGGTGGAGAATCAGGAAACCAAAATCGGTTCTGGGTAAGAGCAACAAGGGACCTACCCGAGACTGGGATTAGGGGTGTGTGATTATTAGTGGTAGTGATGGTCCCGTTCATCAGACAACGCACCTCCCCCTTCAACACTGCTCCACCTCTGAGAGCAGCCTCCTCCGCGGGAGAAGCTGTGTCCCCCAGCAGCCTCGCTGGTAGGTCATCAGTGCTGGTGTTTACGGATGAGGGAGTGAAGACCCAGCATGCTCAGCACCACAGAGAGGTCATTATGTGGCCGCCAGAACTTACAGAACACTTGGAGATAGCGGGCTAATAGTTTTAGTCCAACACGGTCACAGCTGAAAAGCTTATTGTCTGAGTCCGTGGAGACTGGGTCTCACAGCTGCCCCTCCCTGCAAGCTGCACTCAGCCCTGGGACCTTCCCCGTGGCTTTCCATGTGGCTCTCGGGATGTCTGGTCCCAGGCACGCTTCTACCAGTGGCTCGGCGAGCCCGTCTGCCGGGGATGTGTGGTGGGGGGCGGGAGCAGGTGTGCAGCCGTGCGGCGGGCATGATCCTCACTGTCTTCCCCTCCGCCTGTCTCGGGGGTCCCATCGTGTGATCGTCCCACATCCCCCGCTGTGCGGGCTGGGAGAGCGTTCCGGCGTCCCGAGGTGAAGACAAAGGGCGGCATCATTGTATCCGGCTCCCCGAATCCACAGGCTACCAGTCCGCTGATCTTTGTGGGCCAGCGCCAGGAATGAATGGGTACACCAGCGAACGGGAAGACCTGTAAATGCAGTTAAACCACTTTGAACACACGTAAAATGGCTGGGAGATCAAGTTTGTGGATTCGGGAGCCGAGCCCAGGGGCGTGTGCGGGGAGACATGACTGCGTGCAAGGACAGAAACCTGCCAGAAAGTTCTTGCCCTGGCCGTGGGAAGGGGTGCAGGGGTCCAGACCAGTGGGGGCAGTACTGGGGCAAAGGGAAAAACCACCACAAGTGGGTGTGGAGGAGAAATGGCAAGATTTGGAAGCAGACTGGAGTTGAAGCAGGTGGGTTTGCAGGGGCTGGAGGAACGGGGGTTTTCAGCACGTGGTGGTCGGGAAGTATCCAGGTGGAAATGTCCGCCAGGACGAGGAGGTGAGGCCCAGGGCCTGGGCAGGGAGTCAGGACAGGTGGAGTGACCAAAGAAGTTGGGGCGTGGCGAAATCGGTGAGGTCTTCCTGGGCAAGTGTGCGAGCTGGGCTCAGCGCTAGGTCCTGGCAGCCGGGCGTTAACTCACCTCTGCCCCGGCTTGGCTTGCGTCAGGCCGGCCTCCGTTCCACCACGTGGTGAGTTAGTGGCCCTTGCAGGCGTCTTGTGCTGGACCCCCCCCCCCCATTAGCTCCTGCCGACTCTCTGCTGTGCCCCCGGCTCCGGTCCCCGAATTCGGGCCTCTGGCTTCCCTGTGTGGCGAGGTCTCCTCGTCCTCCCCAGCATCCCTCCATCCCCCTGTCAAGCTCCGTGGGATCTGCATGGGCCACGTATGCAGCGCACTGAGCTCCGCGAGCGGGGCACGGTGACACTCGCAGTGAGACCAGCGACTTGCACAGACCACACCTGCGTGAGCCAGCTCCTCTGTGCGTTGTGGGGGGAAGAATGAGATCGGTGCTATCTGGCAGCTTTTCCTGGGAAAACCCAACGTTCTCCAGTGCGGAGGGTGGCTTGGGGTCGAGGGTTTGCCCGGGGGTCAGGGGTCGGGTGATCTGTATGTAACAGGTGAGCTCAGAGAAGAGGGTGCGTCCAGTCCAGCTGCTGCATGGGAAGGACTGAGATGGCCCCACGGTCCCCCAGCCCCGCCACGCTGGCCGTGCTCGTGAGATGGGCCGACGCTGGGGGGAGAGGGGCAAACCCAGCTCTGTTGGCCCCCAGGCTGGCTGTGCCGACGGTGCCCCGGGGCCATGGAGTGGCCCTGTGAGCCGGGTTCCAGGGCTCCTCGATCCGCGTGGGTCGACGTGTTTGTTCTCAAGCAGACGCGAGTCAGGAAGGCGCCGCTTGCTTACAGAATGCATCTCTTGCACGCGTGCCTCACATGCGTGTTTTTTTTTTTTTTAAGATTTTATTTATTTGCGAGAGAGAGAATGAGAGACAGAGCATGAGAGGAAGGAGGGTCAGAGGGAGAAGCAGACTGCCTGCTGAGCAGGGAACCTGATGTGGGACTTGATCCCTGGACTCCAGGATCATGACCTGAGCCGAAGGCAGTCGCTTAACCAACTGAGCCACCCAGGCGCCCTGCATGCGTGTATTTTTAATGCGCGTCTCCCTGTGCATGGTCATCTGGGGCAGCCAACCCCAGAGACCAAAGGGAGGGATGAGGGAGCCCAGAGTTGTGGGCGGTACCCAGATGGGACAGTGTGAGGCCGTCTGTTCCCGCCCACAGAAGGCCTGGTGGGTGAGCGCAGGCTGGGGCCCTCACACCAGCCGGCTGTGCCGCGGACCCATGTCCCTGGTCAGCTCAGCGTATCTCGTGCTCACTCAGCCTCTACTAAGTGCAAAGAGCTTTGCACGCCGGCTGAGAAGAGACATCGTGGGTGGTGGGGGGGTGTGTTGGGGGAGGGAGGAGGGCGCTGACTCAGCGGGGAGGTCAGGGAGCACGCTGTGGGCCTGGGGCCGCAGGGGCCGTGGGGTGCGGGGTGGGTGGTCTGGGCTCGGCTTCCCTTAGGAGGCGGCATTAGAGACGAGCCCACATGGCTGGCTGGATTTTTCTAGCAGCATACGTGCTGCGTACGTGGGCCTATGTGAGGGAGAGGAGGGTGACTTCCCTCTCCAACTTGGGGTGTCTTCACTGGTCTGGGCACCAGTTTCTCCTTTACAGCTGCTGTGATCTCCGTTACAACTTTGATTTCTGTTAAACACCCTGGGGAGTTCATGACTTGAAGCTCTTTTTACCATTAACCCCCGCGTGGCTTCTCTGGGGGCTGGGGGACTCGGTCTTCCTGCTGGTCCCCCAGCTTTGGCCCATTTCTGGTCCGGGCTGGCCTCTCCTCCTTCATCACTGCCGGTCATTCTCCCCCCTCCCCAGGCCACCCACATCAGGCGAGGTGCTGTTTCTCGATGCTTCCCCAGCCTGCCTCCATTTGAAACAGATACACCCGTTTGCTGTAGCTTTGTGAGTTTGTGTAGGAGGGTACGGAGGGACCGGGAAGCCAGGAGCAGGGCAGTTACAGAACCGTGGAGACTCTCTGGGGGTGTCTCCTCCCGCCTTCCGTGACCACGCAGGGGTTACCCCCAGAAGCAAGGGCCCCGTTCCAGTAAGTAGGTGCTGAGAGCCTGTGTCCGTTAGACTTGGGTATGAAGCATGGCTCCAGGACCCCGATGAGGAGAACGGAGCAGAGCTGGACCACGGTGTAGGGGCGGCCTCGGGGTCGCCAGCACGGCCTGTGGGACAATGGAGTAACTCCCTCCCGCTGACACAGGCCTATGTCTCTGCTCCCCTGCAGCTGGTGCTTCCGGAATACTCCATCCACAGCCTATTCTGCATCATGTTCCTGTGCGCTCAGGAGTGGCTCACCCTGGGGCTGAACGTCCCTCTACTTTTCTATCACTTCTGGAGGTGAGTCTGCCTGGGACTGCTCTGGGCTCCCTCCTTTCTGTGTGGGCGGCCGGCCCTCAGGGACACTGTCCCCCAAACAGACCGGCTGCCTGACCATGCCTCCCTCTCTTCCCTGCCCTTCGGAGACCTGTTCTCTGCGGCCTTCTTCCCAAGCCACTCCCAGACGGCGGCCCTTCTTACCGGCTCCCTCCCTCCGGGATCGGTGTTAAGAGCCCCTGCAGCAGGATTCACAATCGTCCCCAAATGGAAACAATCCAGATTGGTGCTAACAGAGCAATGGATAAACAAAACACGGCATGTCCTTGCAAGGGTGCATGATTTGGTAGTAAAAGGTCATGACATACTGACACGCGCTGAGACATGGATGAGCCTTGAAAACACAACAAGGGAAAGAAGCCGGTCACAAGAGGCTATTTATGTGAAAGGTCCAGAATGGACAACTCTGAGGAGAAGGGAAGTAGGTGGGTGGTTGCCACGGGCTGGGAGGGAGGGGATGGGGACAGGGGATGGGGACAGGGAATGGGGGATGGCTGATGGGGATGGGGACGGGGGACGGGGGTGGGGGATGGTGGACGGGGACGGGGGATGGCAGACAGGGACGGGGGGGTGGGGGACAGCTGACGGGGATGGCAGACAGGGACGGGGGATGGGGACGGGGGACGGCTGACGGGGATGGGTCTTCTTTGGGTGTGACCGTGTTCTGAACTAGATAGAGCTGACCGTTGACAACTCTATGAACATGCTAACAATCCCTGCATTGTAAACTTTAAGAAGGTGAATTTTCTGGTATGTGAATTATATCTTTTTTTTTTGGAAAAAAGATTTATTTATTTATCCTAGAGAGGGAGAGAGGGGGGCAGAGGGAGAACTCCAAGCAGGCTCTGCCCCCAGCATGGAGCCTGACCCAGGGCTCTATCTCATGACCCTGAGATCACGACCTGAGCCAAAACCAAGTCAGACACTCAACAGACTGAGCCACCCAGGCGCCCTGAACTGTATCTTAATAAAAAAGCACCTGCGAGATGGGCTGGATTTTCTGGGACAGTTCTGATTTTAAATATTCTATTCTCTGTCAAGACTATGCATCAGGTCACGTGATTTGGGCTTTTAGTAAAATACGGTCACTGTCTGGACCTAGGACGTAGGAAGGGGGAACCAAAGTAAAGAAGACAGCTGTGCAGGTGAATCGACCACCCCGACCCCTTGCTCCCCGAGCTTCCATCCCGCAAACATCTCTTCACTGTTATTTTACTGTGAAACGTAGCCTGCATTTGTCACGGCGGGAGCACGCACTCCTTCATCTAGCAAACATGGGAGACACGCCCCATGCTAGGCATTGCAGGGGATCCCAACGTGGATGTGAGATAGAATTTTTACCTTCAAGGAGCGTGCACCCCGGTGGCAGAGGGAAGTAGGTTCTTAGCGGACATGAGGAATACACGCAGGCATGCAGAGAACAAACGGGTAAGTTAGACTGGCAGAGGGGCACTGTGAACTCTGCAGGTGAGGGGGTGAAGTCTGCAGGTTGGGGGGCGTGGCAAAGTCTGCAGGTTAGGGGGCAAAGTCTGCAGGTTGGGGGCAAAGTCTGCAGGCTGGGGGGTATGGCGAAGTCTGCAGGTTAGGGGGCGAAGTCTGCAGGTTGGGGGGTGCTGCAAAGTCTGTAGGTTGGGGGGCTAAGTCTGCAGGTTAGGGGGCGAAGTCTGCAGGTTGGGGGGCTAAGTCTGCAGGCTGGGGGGCAAAGTCTGCAGGTTGGGGATTGAAGTCTGCAGGCTGGGGGGTGTGGAGAAGTCTGCAGGTTGGGGGCAAAGTCTGCAGGCTGGGGGGCGCTATGAAATCTGCAGGCTGGGGGGCGCTGCAAAGTCTGCAGGTTGAGGGGTGAAGTCTGCAGGCTGGGGGTGAAGTCTGCAGGCTGGGGGGTGCTGCGAAGTCTGCAGGTTGAGGGGTGAAGTCTGCAGGCTGGGGGGGGCGCGGCAAAGTCTGCAGGCCGGGGGGCAAAGTCTGCAGGTTGGGGGCAAAGTCTGCAGGTTGGGGGGTGCTGCAAAGTCTGCAGGTTGGGGGGCTAAGTCTGCAGGTTGGGGGTGAAGTCTGCAGGTTGGGGATTGAAGTCTGCAGGCTGGGGGGTGCGGAGAAGTCTGCAGGTTGGGGGCAAAGTCTGCAGGCTGGGGGGCGCTATGAAATCTGCAGGCTGGGGGGTGCTGCGAGGTCTGCAGGTTGAGGGGTGAAGTCTGCAGGCTGGGGGGGCACAGCGAAGTCTGCAGGCTGGGGGGCAAAGTCTGCAGGCTGGGGGTGAAGTCTGCAAGCTGGGGGCACAGAGAAGTCTTCAGGTTGGGGTGTGAAGTCTGCAGGTTGAGGGGTGAAGTCTGCAGGCTGGGGGGGCACGGTGAAGTCTGCAGGCTGGGGGGCAAAGTCTGAGGGCAAAGTCTACAAGCTGGGGGGCACAGTGAAGTCTGCAGGTTGGGGTGCAAAGTCTGCAGGTTGGGGGGCGAAGTCTGCAGGCTGGTGGACAAAGTCTGCAGGCTGGGGGACACAGCGAAGTCTGCAGGTTGGGAAGTGAAGTCTGCAGGTTGGGGGGCTAACACGGGCACAGGCTCAGAGGTGAGACAGCACTCGGTGTGCTGGGGAAGGGCCCTGGTTCAGCGAGGCTGGATGCAGGGTCCTCGGATGGAGGTGAATGGACGTGGGCTTGACAGACAGCAGAGGGACCAGGGGTGGAGGGTCCGAAGCTCTCTGCTGGGGAAGTTGGAATCAACGTATTCTGAAGGAAATGGAAGTGCTCAGAAGCTTTTTCGGGGAGAAAGTGGCATTGCCTGATCCTAGTTTTAGGAAAATGACTGGTGGCAGCCATGGGGAGGACAGGTAGGAGGGTGAACTTGTGAATCTGGAATTGGGAGGTCACCATGGCATCGCAGGTGAAGAGAGGATGGACTTGACCCCAGTGTGACAGAGCGATGGAAGTCGGAAGGGCAGAGAGTTCACGTGGAGGTGAACTTGGCCTTGGCCAGTGAGCAGGTGCAGTGGGCAGGGCAGAGGTAGCCTCGAAGCTGCTGGCTGGGAGGGGATGGCGCCCCTGACGGGTGGCAGGAGGAGAGGACAAAGTGCAGGTTAGGGAGAAAGGAAGGTGACTCAGTTACACAAGAAAGTCCTGTGCTTTTTTTTTTTTTTTTTAAATAAAGATTTAATTTATTTATTTGCTATATAAAGAGAGCAAGCGAGAGAGACAGAAAGAGAGAGCGCGAGCACACAAGCAGGGGGAGGGGCAGAGGGAGAAGCCTAGGACCCCGGGATCCTGACCTGAGCTGAAGGCAGACTCCTAACCAGCGCCCAGAGAGCGTCCTGTTTGGAGTGAGGGTAACCCCCTGCAGTCTGAGCTTGGAGAGCAGTCAGGTGGGAACAAGGTGGCGTCGGAATGTAGTCCCTGCCGGCTCAGGGACTGTGTGGGCTTAGCTCACCCAGTATCCACACAACCGGGTGAGCTGAGGCCCCTTCTCTGTTTCATCCATGGGCTAAGGACGTTGTCCCGCAGACCCGGCCCCTCCCGCCCTATTCTCAGGCACTGGAGGAAAGCAGTGGGGTACCTCCGTCCGGTCCCATTCTTGGCAGAGTATTGCATCCAGCACCCAGTTGTCTCTGCACTTCCGTCCCCATTTTACAGACGACAAAGCTGAGGCTCGGAGGGATCAATGGCCGGCTGGAGGATGGTCAGTCTGGTGGCTGGTAGCCGCAGAGCCCTGACTCTCTCCACCGAGCCGCTTGGCCACCTGGCTGCCCCTGTCCCCACGGAGCGAGGTCTCCGCAAGGCCAGTAGATTTGGAATGTGCTCCCAGGGAGGCAAGGAGTGTGGCCTGGAGAGCTGTGAGCCGGCAGGCATCACTGAACCCGGCTTGCGTTGTCCTCCTGGCACCCGGTGATGACTGTCGCTGTCGCTGTCCTCTGGGGGGTGAGGTCAGGCTGGAACACCGGGTCCCATGTTCCTGGTTACAGGGTACCCTTCTGAGCCCGGGAGTCATCTGCTCAGGGCCCCTCTCCGGCCCAACCTCTGGCCTCCTTCACCCAAGTGACAGAAAGCAGCCCGCAGAGGCCGTGCCGGGGGCCAGAGGTCAGCCGCGGGGTGGCCCTTGAGTCCCGCCCAGCCTCACCACCAGAGTCCTGGCCTCCGCTGGGTGTTTCCACAGACACAAAGCTTGCTTCAGCTTCCCTCTGTCCCATGCCCTGTGCTTTTGCTCCCCCTGGGTCCTTCTGCTGCTACGCCCCCCGCCATGGTCAATGCTCTTTGGCTGTTCTGGGTCCTTCTACCAAGAAGAAAAGTGTCTGAACCCCACCGCACTCCTGCAGGAGTGTGACATCTCTCCCCCAGTGTTCCGGATTTGAAAAGAGGGTCTGTGTGGGGGACAGCATGACACCCAGAGTCATTAATGATCAGGGTAGAATGTGGTCGGGGGTGATGCCGCCCTGCGTGTTGCCGCCCCATTCTGGGCTGACGCCCACAGGGGTGCCCACAGCCCTGGAGCAAGGAGGCTCTTCTCGGTGCCTCCAGGTGACTCGGTTTCCTTCCTTCGGAGCAGCTCTCTCTGTGGGCGCGGTGCCCGTGGTGCCGGAGGGTCTCTGTGTCTGGGAGCGGCCCTCAGTGCTGGGCAGTGATGTGGGCAGCGGCGGAACGCTGCTTCGCAGAGATCCCTCGGATGCCCTTCCAAGCCCCAGAGCCAAGGACGCCGTGTCCTCTGTCGCCGCAGGTATTTCCACTGTCCAGCGGACAGCTCGGAGCTCGCCTACGACCCGCCGGCGGTCATGAACGCGGACACCTTGAGCTACTGTCAGAAGGAGGCCTGGTGCAAACTCGCGTTTTATCTCCTGTCCTTCTTCTACTACCTTTACTGGTGAGTGTCTATCCCTCCTGGCGCTCTGGGTCCTGCAGGCGCTTTGTGCCTCTGGCTTTTGGGGGGGGGGGAGGGCTGTGAGGGTGGGGTCGCAGCCGCATGGGTCTGATGCCAGCTGTCTGACTCGGTCGGGAGCCTGGGCTTGTGCATGGAGGCGTGAGGGGTGGCGGGTCCTGAAGGAGGCCTGGCCCCTGGTGGGTGCATCCGCAGGGCCTCACAGAGAAATTCATTGTCCCCACACCTCTGGGGAGGCGGTTGGTGACACACAGCTGGTCACTCCTTCCCCATAGGGCTCCGTCCCCAGCTCAGCCACTTGGGTCCCCTGTGGCCCCTAGTCCACGTGGAAGCATCTGGGGGACAGAACAGAGACCCCGGGGGGCGGTCGCGCGTCTCAAAGGGGCACGCGGGGTCACTGAGTGCTCAGGCTCACGACTCTGCCCATGTTACATAACTCGCTAATGAGGTAGACCGTGCTGACTTTGCGATTGTTCAGCACCGCCCCCATGTCTGCACCTCTGCAGAGAGCGGCCTAGCGAGGCAGATGGCTGAAAGCAGACTGCCTATGGCCAGGCCCCGAGAGCACCTTTTCTGAAAGCATCTCCCTCCTGTTCCTCTTTGGGCTCATTTCTGGGACACTTCACCTGCCACCTCACTACGCGGTGGCTACCTGCGTTTGGCCAGGAAAGCTGCCAGTGTCCCGGTACTGCTGTTGGTGCTAGCCACATGAGGAAGAGGAGGGTGGGGTGTTAGCGAGGCCGCCCCAGGCTTGGGGCGGGCTGGGGAGTGGCTGCATTATCCACACTTAAAAATGAGCCGTGCTCGGGTCTCTCTGACTCCAACTCAGAACTTTCTAGCCACTGAAGCTCGCTCAAGCTGGTTCCTGCCTTGGGGAGCCCAAAGAGGGTGGCCTCCAGGCTTAAGGACTTGACACCGTGGGCTAACGTGAGGTGCTGGAGTGAGCTCAGTCTCCTCTGTGGGGGTCTGCAGACGCCCCCACTGCAGAGTCATGAGCCTGCCCCAGAGGCAGCCGTGCCCCCCGGGCTCCTTCCTCATTCGTCTGGGGTCCACCCTAGTCCAGATGGAGATGGAGGCAGGTCACATCCCCTCATTTCAGTTGTGTTGCCAGCATCCGTCTGTTGTGGGAAAGAAGACCTGGGAAGTCACAGCAAAGTAGCTCCCTTCCTGCAGGGCTGTGGGGGGCAGGAGGGGGCAGTGGGGGCGGGGGACAGTGGGGCTGTGGGGGTCGCGGGAGGGGTCACGGGGGTGGTGGTGGGGGGTGGAAGGGGGTGCGAGGGGGTGGCGGGGGGCGTGGGATGGGGCGGCGGGGGCGCGGGAGGGGGCATGGGGGGGTGGGGGGGGGCACGGCGGGGGGCGGTGGGGGGTGGAGGGGGGCGGCAGGGGGTGGGAGGGGGGTGGCGGGGGTGGTGGGAGGGGGCGCGAGGGGGCGGCAGTGGGCGGGCGGGCGGCCTGGGCGGCTCCTGCCCATTGCCTGAGCGTGATCATCCTATAAACCTCGTGTCCCACACATTCCGGCTGGCTGTCTGTCCTTCCTTCAGTCTGGCTCTGCCTTCATGTTGCATTTGTTAGTTACTGTGTTGCGAAAACAAAACTAGAACAACTGCTCCCTGCCTCGCGGGACCCTGGGTGGCAGCCGGGGCTCCCCCTTCTTTGTTGAACCTGGTGTCGGAGGTTCTGCCGAGCTCCTCAAAGACCCCGTGTCTCTCGCCCCAGAACTCCCAGCCCCTTGGAGCCAGGGCTTGTGGGCGCACAGGACCGTCGGCCCCGGCCACTCTTGTGGGGGAAAGGGGGACCCACGCAGGTGGACAGCTGCGTCCAAGCTGAGCACAGGGATGGACTGAAGTGACAGCCACAGGGACCCTGTTAAGATGGGGTTGGCATTTCACAGGACCTTGCAGAGATTGAGAAATGTGTCCGAGGCCCTAGCTGAGACGCGTTTGTCTCGCTGCAGAGCCCGGACTCGTCTCAGCATCGTGTGCTAAATACCCCAGCAGGTGCCCCGTGGACCAGGAGATGCTTGCAGGTTCCTGGGGTGGATCCTAGCCAACAGGAATGCAAACACCGGCGGTTAGTCCAGGGTGGACGGTCTGCCTGCGCCTTGGAACCATCTCTCAAGCCAGGAGGGTGAGGTGGCACCAGCCTCCCGCCCACTGCTCTGGGTCACGGCTGCCTCCTTCTTGTGTATTCCTCTCCCTCTATGATTGTCTTCTCTCTGGCCGACTTGATGGCAGACACCCCATCTGTCTCATCCGCCTGTGTGTCTGTGGTGCCCTGGCTGGAGCGTGGCACACAGTAGGTGCTCACGAGCTCCTTGTTATTGCTGCAGCTTGGCTGTGTGGTCCCTCGAGGCAGGTGTCAGTCTGCACGCTCACCGTTGTCTGTCAGCACCGAGAATGGTGCGTGGCATGCAAGAGGCGCTCAATAATGGTGAATGAGTGGCTGAAAGTCTGAAAGTGAGTAGAGTGAGTAAAGGGCATCCGTGACCCCACTCGGTATCACCACGGAGAGACGGGCGTGGCTCCTTGCCTTGCCTCCCTGGCTCTGTGACCTTGAGCGATGGTCTGCTTCTCACGTGACCCCCGGCTCCCCTGAGTGCAGGGAGACCCTCCAGCTTGGGCCTGGCCAGTGATGCTCCGTGGACACACGGTGAACCGGGTTCGCAGAGATGGAACTTCAGCTGCTCCGAGGAGCTCGTAGGGCCTTGGAAACTGGATAGGGTTAGAAGTGAAGCAGACTTTCTTCCCGCTTGGTTTTCTTTCTCAGATGACCCTTTTTCCTCTCTATAATGTGAACGGGGGTGGTTTTTCTTTGTGCCAGGAAGGCAAAGTGGTATATTTTGGCGTGGAATGTTACCCAATGTTGCAGAATTAGCCTGCCGCCCTTCCTAAAAGCACAGGGATGCGTGACTCCTTCCCTGGTTGCGTTGGGTCACCACCGTAGGACACATGCTCCTAATGCACGTTTAATGCGTGCATTCCATTAAACACAGGAGGGCCAGGGAGTGACCCGGGTCAGAATTCGTGTCGTTTGTATGCCCAGAGGGCCTGCGTTCACAAGTGGGGCCTCAGAATGGTGACGACGGGCCTCTTCCCAGCGTGGGGTATCGTGTGGTATCACAGAGGTGGGTGGGGTGGAGAGAACCCCCTGCACGCCCCAGCCTGGGGACCTGCAGGAAGGAGGCACAGCCACCATGATAACCATGCGGATGAGCATAATAAGCTGCACTTAGAGCAATCACATCTTCTACCCAAGGGACTCGGTGCACGCTCACAGCACAGGTTAGTCCAGTGGGGTGGGAAGTAGTGGGGCCAGCAGGGCGGGGAGTAGATGCTCCAGGGCCGGGACGAGAAAGAAGCCATGGGGTCCGGCTTGGGGAAGGACCCTTGGGTGAAGGTCGGTCTGAGTCCCTCGCAGGCTCCCCGCTCACTCCCTCTCTTCCTTTTCTCTCTGCATTCAGCATGATCTACACGCTAGTGAGCTCTTAACTCAGACCGCTCACGTCCTCCGAGGCTGAGTTCACGGGAGCCGGGCCCAGACGGGGACGCGTGAGAGACACCTGCGGACTGAGGGCCCCTGCAGCAGCAGTGGGCCAAGGGGTCGCTGCCCAGCCTGCATTCAGGGTGTGGTCCCTTTGGGGCCGTGGGCCCTCTCCTGGGCAAGGACTGCTGCTTCCTGAGCGCACGCACTTCTCCGACATCTCCGTGCCGTGCACGCTGAGCCCCGGGGCCGCGGGAGGGGTGGCTGACAGGCTGCCCGGGGCCTGCCCAGGACGGAATGACCCAGGATCCAGGCCGAGTGTGTGGCACCCCCTGAGCCTCGTGTTTCTTCTGACCACTGGCCATGCCCCGCGCTTCTGTGGGACGGCCTGGAGAGCGCACACATTGGCCTCTGAGCCCTGACCGGCCCCGAGCCCGCGGGCTGTTTGCGCACTCTGTGGTGGGAGAGCCGGCTCTGCGACCCCAGGAACGCAGCGTGGGGCTGTCCATCCGTCCTGAGTTATGTCCAAAGTCGAGGGGAGGTGGGAATCCGAGGGAAGAATGATTTTGTAAAACATTCACAGGCTCAAAGTGTTAGTTCTTGGCCCCCATGAGCTGTACTCTTGGGCTGTCAATCCAGAGCACCACAGAGCCCATGAGCGTGGATCGATGGCTCCACATTGTCACAGCCACCCTGAGTCGAGGACCCCGAGCAGCCACGTGCCCAGAAAGCACTGCGGTCCCTGCTCTGCGCCCGCGGCTGGGAAGTGACACGGCACAGTCATATGTTGCTGCATCGTTCACGCGGGGACATTTGCTTGTTGAGAATTTTCCGTTTGACAATCTGTCCTCTGTGGGTAGCCGCTGTTCTAGGGGCTTGTAAATAATGACAAGGCTGAGATGTTCCATGTGGATTGGGCACAGTGATTTCCACCTTGTTCCCAGAACTTGCTTGTTTGCTTCTGTTGGACACGCACAGACTGCTTATACCTGTGTCCAGCTCCCGGCGGAGGCCCGTGCCTCAGGCTTATGAATGGTGTTGGTGTGACACGCCGTGCACACGTTTGCATGCCGTGGCAGGTCCAGTGTCTCACGTACCTGGCTGGTCTCGTTTAAACCCCATGACAGGCTGCATTCGGCTCTGCGGGGTTGGCACATTAGAAAAAAAGTTTCCAAAAGGTGTTTTGCTTCTAAAATTGTACAGAGAACAAAACTCAGACTTCTGCTCTGAGGCTGAAGGTATAAAACCAGGGGATTCTGGGCGGTATTTTGGGGACCAGACTTCCCTTTGTCCAGGCTGGCTAGCTGGGGCTGGGGGGCGAGCTGCATGTGGGGCCAGCTGGCCCCATATCTGACCCCCTTCCTGAGAAGACCGGCTGCGAGAGCCCTGACTCGCCATACTTCTCACCCTCGAGCTGCTTTGTTTGCTGTTGTACTTTGCCTCCTTCCAGAAGGATGCGCAGTGGTCCGTAATAGCAGACACAGTTACCCAGAGACCACTGAAATGGAAGTAGGGAGCTCAGACCCACAGAGGAGGACACACCGACATCCCAAGGTTCTGATTCCTGAGACTGACCTTGAATGTTGCCTTCTCTTCGCAGCAAAGGGTAGCCCACATTCGCCTAGGCTGCTTTCATGTCCTCTTTGACCTTCCTCATGGTCCTCTGAGGTCGATACTCTTCTTTTTCCCATTTTCTAAGGGAGGAGGCAGAAGCTAAGAGAGGGTAAGCGACTTACCCATAGTCACTCAGCAGCCACAGACCTGCCTCTACACCCAGGTCGTCTGACTTCAAAACCCCGTGTCCTTTCCATCACCCGAGAGCCAGCGAAGCAGCTCAGGCCCCTGCGACAGTTGGATTAGCACACATTTTTGGAGAAAAGGAGATTTAAAGCCACAGAGCTATAGACAAAGTGCCTGGTTTCTGCTCCTTCTGTGCGGGCCTCAGCCTTGCTTCGCCGTGGCGGGTTCTTCCCTGAGGGGCTCCCCTGAAAGCTGGCAGAGCTGCAAGTGCACGAACACCCCAGCGCTCCCCTCCCACAAGCTGCAAACCCGAACCATCTCTGCTGGTCTGGCGGGGGCTTGAGCCGGTTTTCGGGTCCTGTGAGAGCTAATCACGAGCACAGGGGTGAACAGCTGCTGGAGCCGCGCCAGGTGCCATGACCTCGCCCAGCCCACAACAACCCCACAAAGCAGCTGGGCGTTACCAACCAGGAGGCCAGGGACGCTCGGGTGGGTGAGTCTGCCCCAGGGACCGAGCCAGACCGGGGCTCGGGGCTGCGCCTCAGTGGGGGATGGTGACCACAGCTCTGAACCCAGGTGTCGGCCGTTGCTCCAGGCGCTCGCATCTCGCGGCACCGTGGGGTCCACGTTATCCGCGTTTATAGACGAAGACGTTCTGGGACCTCAGAGACCCTCAGCGAGGGAGGGGCGGGCAGAGCTGGGGCCGGCATCGAAGCCCCCATGTGCCCCCCCATAACGTTGCCTGCTGGGATATCTTCACCTGTCTGTTTGTCCCACAGTCGAGGGGGGAGGGCAGAGCAGGGGACAGTGCCCTGGGTACATCCCAAAGCGGCTCTCCCTGCCTGGCACGGCTCTGGGCACTGGGAGAGAGGTTCTCAGGGGCACAGGTGTCAGGGAAGGTGCCGTGGGGACCCGATTCCTATTTCCTTGGAGGGGCAGAGCCGTAGGCCTGGCTGTGCCCAAAGGGGCAGAGCAGGACTGGGGGGGGGTCACTTACTTTCCATGTCACTAAGTTGAGGTGGATGATGACACCCACTACACTGACCTGTTGGATTAAATGAGGTCATATTTGCAAAGAACCGGGAAGAGTGCCCTGCACGTGGGAAGTCAGGTAAGAGGTCCCCCCTCTGTGCGAGGTGGGTCCCCCTCGCTGTCCTCATTGTGCCCTGTGCGCATCCTGGTCCCGGGCCTCTGGAGGGAGGGGGGATGTCACCTGGACCAGCTGTCCGCCTGACGCCTCGTTCCGGCCACAGTATCCTGACCCCTCTTTCCCGCGCTGTGCTCTCCAGCCTGTGCTGGCCGCTCTCCAACGCTTGCCCCGCGCAGGCCCCGTGCAGAGCATGCGACGCGCACGGTCTCACCTTAACCCCCACGACAATATCGCGAAGTAGGGGCTGTCACTGGTCCGGTTCATAGTTTAAGTACTGAAGCTGGTGGAGGTTACGCCAGTGACAGTTACCAGTGACGCGTGGAGCCTCGACTCCAACCCACGTCTGTTTGTCCCCAGGGCCTTGAGCCCTTTGCACTCCTGAAGGGGTGATGCTGGACAGGGCCGGAGGAGGGAGAACGGGAGGGACGCTGTCCCAGGAGCGTGGCCAGCACACCTGCCTTCTCCATAGCCAGTAGCTAAGGGTACATGACCCGACATTCGGGAGGGTCTGCGCTACGGGGTCTTGTGCAAGCTTCCCGATGTTTCTGAAACTGAGCTGTCCCGTCCGTAAGGTGGGGCAAGACTACCTCCCTTGCTAGTGTGGTTGCGATCATCAAAGTGAGTTATGTGCATAGGGCTTGTGCAGGGGGCTCAGCACACCTTGGTCCTCAGTGTCCAGCTTCCCTCCCCACCACAGACGTGAAGGGAGCCTTCCTGGAATTGAACGCTAGCTGCTTGCCTCCCACCCCCCAGTCCTGCGGCCGGCCGGCACGGGATCCCGGGGAACAGGGCTCAGCCCTCTCGAGATCTCCCCTGTGCTTCCTGTTTGTAGGCTTGGCCATTGCACCGATGTTGAATGAAGTTATCGCTGTTGGGGCAGTTTTGTTCTCTCCCGAGAGAGGCGAGTGGAGCTGCTTTGACAACTGCACAGACCCCTCCTAACCCTTCCTGTTCCCGGGCTGGGGCTGTTCCTTTCCAAACTGTGCGCTGGTGAAGCGGTCTGGGTCTCAGGCGGCCTGGGCTGCGAGGCTTGGGCAGAGGGCTGCGGCCGCTGCTGTCACTGGGGCGCTCCCTGGCTTGGGTTTTGGCTGCCCCCGCACCCAGGAGCCGGGCAGGGTAGCAGGCCCCCCGGGCTTTGCCCCACATCGCCACGGCCGTTTCTGCTCCTGTTCAGCTCTGCTCAGATAGCTCCGGGCCCCCCAGGAGTGTCTTCCTGTGCTGAACCTGACCCCTCAGCCACCACATGACGCCCACGCAGGCTTCCTTCCCAGCTGGTGAGTGCTGGGCTGTGGAGCCGCTCCTTACATTTCTTAGGGCTCTTGCTCTGAGCACGGCCCTTCTGAAAACGGCTTATGTAAGCTCACAATGAAATAAATCATATTCAAAACAAAGGTAACGAAGAGTCAAAACTCACCACCTCCTGGTTATTTCAGGACATCTTGCCATGCTCTGTGCTCTGTGCTGTGCGTACGGGGGATCACCATGTAAGCATAGCGATCTGCGTCCTCCCTGGGGTGCCCTGGCAGCTCGAAATCAGCCCGGTCGGAGTGTGTGCACCTGCAGCAGATCGCGTGCCCTCCCCTGCCTCGCACGCCTCCCCCGGGCTCATTGCTGAACGTTGACCAGTACCCGGGGTTCACGTCCACCCGTCCGCGGCACGGCCATGTGGCAGCTGGTGGCCAGCCCTGCCGAGGGCATGCGCACCAGAGCCCAGTGTCCAGGGCTCTCGGGGTTGGACCTGCCTCCCACACAGGCAGTGACACCAGTGGCTCTCATTTATGTGCTTTTGTCCCCGAGAGATGATCGGACAGTAGACTTTTCAGCTGTAAGGCTTGAGGGCCTGCACATAACGTGAGAACACGGCTGAGCGCGAACGTGCTTCTGTACTTGTGCCCCAGTGCCCTTGAATTACCTTGGGGGCAGCTGTCCTTCCTGTCCACCACCTGGACGCTGGGTCCTGTCCCTGGGGTCTTCCATGTCCTGCAGCTGAATGCCTGGGTCCTGGGTGAGTGCTGGGGTGAATACTGACCACACTTCGCGCGTTATGCGTCCCGTGGGGGGCTGACGAGGGTCCAGGGCGTCTCCGGGTGCCTGCAGCCATGCTTTGCACACAGAACGAGCTCGGGAACCACAGCTTTTCTCTGCTCGGCTCTGCAGGCTGTTGAGTGTGGTGTCTGCTCCCAGCCAGCCATGCGGCTGTGGTTCCTCCCCACACACCCCTCCCCCAGGCAGGCCCCTCTCCTCCTGGACCAGGTACCTCAGGGGCAAACACGCACCTGCTGGTGGAGAGATGCACCGGCACAGGGAGGCTGTTTGGCTTCCGGAAGGAATCCTGGCAGCTGGCAGAGAGACTTACAGACCACGGCAGAGTTTCTGTCCCAATGCCATGCCCAGGCTCTGAGCAGAAGACCCTGGCCCTTTCAGAAATGCTTGGCACCTTGGAGAAACAGCATCACCTTTCCGATAGGAATATATCTCTGAGATTCCAGAGCAGGGGACCTGGGGGAAAGGAGAACTGGTTAAGCACCAGTCCCCACATTAAATTATAAAGAGAGGCATCCATTGGGCCCCCAAGCCGGGGACGGCCTGTTTTGACTGCGGCAATGAAAACAGCAGGGCAGAGCTGGAGGCTCTTGGGGAAATGTTGCTGGTCGGCGGCATCAGGGCACAGGTCTTGTGATGCTGTTCTGACTTTCCCACAGCTCCGCAGGGAGTAAGTGTGATGTTGAGGTGACGTTCTGGGCTCCACGGGCTGCAGAGAGCCGTCTGCGTGGAGGGGTGCTGGGTGAAAGCAGAGATCTGTGGTCAAGCACCTGTGGGCCCTGCAGGGCTAAACACACCCGCAGATTTTCCCCAATCGCCCTTGCAGGGAGCTCGGGTCCCGGCATCAAGGGGGAGGCTGGTCTGCAGGGCACTCGCTGTGAAGTGTGGCCCTGGGGACTCCGAGGGAGGAGTGGGGCAGAGCCCTCTGGTCGAGGGTGGCCTGAGACATGAGCGTGTATTGGGGTGGGATGGGTCCACACAGGGACCTAAGGATGGGAATGAGTGTGAAAAGGTGGGGCTTGCCCCAAATTGGAGAATGGCACTAATGAGAATTAATCCACATAATCCAAGTGCAGAAAAAGGTAGGAAGGGCTGGATTCAGGATCCCCTGGATCATAAGCTCTATGAGGATAGGCTTTCATTAGGTAGCTCCAGAGCCGGGCTTGGTTCTCATGAGACTGCCACAAATCCATGTTGAATGAAATTTTGGATCCCTTCTAGAATCAGCAGGAAGCCGAGAGAGCCACTCCGGTCCGTGGGAACCGGTGTCCTGGGAGGAATGTGGAGGCCTCATGCAGCTGCGTCCTGGATATGCCTTGTTGGGCCCAGTAGTGATAAAGCAGGTGCAAGCACGGCCGGTGCATCTGCAGGTGCCCCTCTCTGCAAAGACCTCTCTGGGCTCGTTCTTCTCGGAATCAGGAAAACACAACCCCTAGACCCACAGGAGCAGATGGTGGCTCTCCAGAGTCATGGAGTGACCAACCCTAGACTCCAGCTTAGAAAACCTTGAGGGAAAAAAGAGCCAGGCCTTGGGTTGCGGCTCCCTGGCATGTGGAAGCAGCTGCAGTCCAGCCCTTAAGCATTGCTCCTGGCAGACAGGGGTCTCCCCACGGGCCCTGGGGGTTCTCCCGGCTGGGGCCGCAGAGGGGAGGGCGAGGGTGAGAATGGTGGGTGGACAGTGACAATGACTTTAGGCCCAACCACTTCTGCAACATGGCCCTCTGTTCAGGCCCAGCTTGGGGGCTGGTGGGCCTGGTCCCAAGGAGAGCAGGGGGGCGGCCAGGGTCGAGCCAGATAATACAGATCGTGGGTTCGGTTCTGATGTCCTGTAAGTCCAGGTGGTTCCAGCTGTGGTGTAACAGGGAGGCTGACTCCATTTTCCATGTGTGTTTGCTGACCGCTTCTGGGCCTCCTCAGCCCCTCTTCCTCTTCCCTACATCTGGGCCAGCTGAGGAGAGGGTCTGCATGCTCCCTCCCTCGATACCGGGGGTGGGGAGTTCCAGCCGCACAAAACCCAGCCTGTGTGTGGGACCCCTCGCCCTAGTCCCACCCCCGATCATAACAGAAGCCAGACCCCTCCTCATTCTCCAGCCATCCTGTTGGGAGCCTGCCCTGCTCCCCCGAGAGACTCATCATGTCAGTTATAAACTCTTTCTTCCTCTTGGTCCACGTGTGGCATCGGGCTCAACATGCAAGTCAAATTTTGAGTGGGGGGTTGGTCCAGCCCCTACTTCAGGGCAAGCAAACATGTGGTTACTGGTAGATGCTAGATGCACAAGGAGCTTATTTCTGGCTCATTCTGGTCTAAGGGAGAAGCTTCTGGTCCAGTGGCCTCCCATGAGCTCATTGGAGGCTGGACCCTTCCATCTTGTAGCCCCACCTGTTTGAGGCCTTTAGGATTGTCTGTGTTGTCAACAGCAGGGAAGAGCATGGAGGGTCAGGTGCACGCTGCTCTTCACAGGCCTGGCGCTCAGGTGTGCAGCCCACCCACGCAGAAGACGTGCCCTGCAGCCAGGCAGTGAGCACGCAGCAGCACCTCCCATGGGCATGCGGACTGTCAGTTGGCCATCGAGGGGGTGTTAGGTAGTGGGGTAGAGTCTGAGGAAGAAGTTCTGGGTGAGTGCCGTACATTCATAAATAGCCTTCTGGGCGATGAGAGAGGAAGAGGAAAGAAAAGGAAAAGATAATTTTATTCACAATATCCTTTCTGGTTGGTTTTCATGCTTGAGGCTTGCCTTCTACAATCTCACCCAAAGCAGTG